GCTGCTATGTGTCGCTCCTTTCCTTTCATCCCCCATGTTTTTTTTTTTTTTAAACATATACAGCATATAAATTAAACAAGAAGACCTGGTGGTTGTCAAAAAAATCTATTACAACCTTTCTCAAAAGTGGTCACACGTTTGTCCATTTAAACTTTTACAGTGAAACTTGTTTTTCTGGGAGAAACATAATCTTGTCTAGATTCTAGTTTAATTTTTAAGAATAAATTTTGGTTTGTTAACTAAGTGCATTTAATCAGCTGAAAAAAGCTTTGTTACCATTCTGCTTAGGTGGATAAATTAAGAAAACAAATAATCAGTAACAACTTTAATCATTTGTTGGTTAGAGATTTTTCCACTTATAAAAATATATGGAATAAATAATTCAATTTCTCAGGCCATGCAATCGTTTTCAATAACAAAATATTTCAAAGGCAAATAAAGCTTATACAGTTGTTAACAAACTTTAGCTTTTCGTCTTTTTAATATTACGATTTCATTTTTTTTTTTTTTTTAATATTCTGGCAACTCACTGAGACTTTAAGCATGAGAAACTGCTTTGATCTTTCAACATTAAGAGCAGACTAACAGTTAAAGAAAACTGTTTAACTGGAAACGAGATTCTAATTTTGCTGTGCACTTGATATCAAGACTCACTTGCTTTAATTTCACTAGGCACGACTATATCTGTAAGAATATAGTAATTTATTCTTCATTTGCCCCATGGTCCCAAGCACATAAGCCGGTGAGAATTAGCCTGGGCTTGCCTGCGGCTTGACTGGGTTTATCTCACTTAATCTCTAAACATCCTGACCCTCCCCCCCAAAGCAACAGGCTGAGCGGGTCTTCTACAACAAAAGGCACCACGCTGTTTTCTCTCTTTAAACAAATAGCTGTACTTTAGAACAAAGTTACTTTCTTTATCACAAAACACATTCTTTAGCATGCAGAAGACTTTTCATTCTTTATACTTTTTCTTATTAAAACATACATTTTTTAGCATAGAGAAATGTTTTATTACTTTAAATAGTTTTAATTAAAACTTAAAACCATTAGAAACTTTAATTTCCAGTGAACACCGAGAAGCAGGCCATTGTAAACTGTTAAACTAACATTCTTTAGATTGACAAATTTATGAACACATTTTATAATTTCTGTAACCATGAGCTTTACAGCACAATCTCTCATAGAGTATATCTTCTTAACTTAGCAAAACTTTAAGGTTTTAGGTTTCTACAAAGATTCTCAGGCAGTAGGTAGGTATACACACTGTAACACACAATTAAAAAGAGGTTCACTTGCTTCAGTCATTTAGTTCACTCATTCGTAACAACTATTCTAGATTACTTACAAGACCTTTACTGAATATTAGACAAAGCCAAGCCTTTAAGCATTTTATTTTTAAAAGATTTAGCAGATAACATGACTTAAATGACCTCAGGTAAATTTAGGCAGCTGATAACTACAAGGACATGCCCGCCTCAGGCAAACTCAAATTAGCATTAATGCTTAACACTTTTTATCAGGTTTTCTGGAAGTTTTAGAATACCCAATTTTCACAAGCGCTTGTCTTTAAATCAATTTCATTAATACCATCCGGAGGTAGAAAGATATATTCATTTACACACTTAGGGGGTCGTCTGAGTCTGTCTCATGGTGAGAAAGAAGGAAAAAGAATATGAGGGAGACAAAGGCGAAGGATGAAGATGCCACTTCAAACAAAATGACTGTTGTATGTGCTTGTGAACGAGTGCCTGTCGTTGCACAGTTTTCCTTCCACGGGGGACGCGAATTTATCTGGGATTCGCGGCTGTGACCCCCTTATCCTGTCACGGGAGTCTTCTAGCGGCGGGCGCCCTAATGGCTCTTAATTGCCCGACCCGTGCCCGCGGGGAATGATGTAGTGGCAGAAAGGAGGAACGGAGAGAGCAGGAGAACCTTAGAACAAGGAAACTTAAAATGAGAAGCGCAAAAAAATATAAACCGAAACCAAAACACAGTAAAACAGTCAATGATAACACTAAGCACACACACACCACATCTGATCGCACTCGTTCGGACCGGTCCTTCTCTCACTCTGGTGCGCACCACACTCACCACTTTCAGGGTCTTCAAAAACTCTCGTAATTCTCCTGAAGGGCGTCCACTCGGACTGCCGCAGGGTGACGAGCTCGATCTTTTCCTCCTCGGGCGCCAGTTTTCTGCCGATCGGATTTGCCTTCCTAAGGCCGAGTCACTCGGACCCTAGGGCCAGGATTGGTTACCTGGGCTTCACCCAGGGTCGCTAACCTGGGGGCCGGGACTACCAGCCCGGACTTCCTCACTCGGGACCACTAACCCGAGACCATACACGGGATGGCGACTCCCGCTTTATAATGGATTTATGCAGACACGAGGGGGCGACCCTCGAATTACACTGCCCCGTCCGGACAATTAGACCTTGCCTCCAGCTGTCCTTTGTTCTCAGGGAAGCCGCTCGAATCCCGGACGAGCCCCCAAATGTTAGGGTGCAGGCTTCCGAGGCTTCCCCAGAGAACAAACTACACAGGCATAGAGATGTAAATTCAAGCAAAGTCTTTATTCAGCCAACTAGTTGGGGTCCTTGTTGAGACCCGCTGCATCGGGCTGACTTGGACCCCAACTAGTTGGCTGAATAAAGACTTTGCTTGAATTTACATCTCTATGCCTGTGTAGTTTGTTCTCTGGGGAAGCCTCGGAAGCCTGCACCCTAACAAGAGCTCTTGGCTTACGCCAGGAAGGGACAAGGGAGTCCATGTTGGTGCATTGTCTAGGGGATTTATAGGCAGTTGAGAGACAAGAGTTAGGGAGGTGGATCCACCAGAATGTCTCTAAGTGTTTATTTTTAAAGAGACACTAAGTTTCTAATCAGTTTTCCAGACTACTTTGCGGAGTTAACTTAAGAAATTTACTGCCTTGATTCTTTCTTAGAATAGCAGTTTCTTGTTTTGGGAGCGTATTAATCCAGGCTGCTTGTTTTTCTTTCAGGGTGAGCTGGGTTATTGTCTGTTTGTTAAATAGTCTTAATTTCTTATCTTTAAGATGGAATCCTTCCTGCCCTTCACTATGTTGTTTATGGCTGGGCCTGCCTGTGACATTAATTGCCCAGGTTATATATTACTTGATTAGGGGCTGTAGGAGGAAAAGCAGCATCTGGATAAAGTTAAAGGTAAACTGGGCTTTTTAGCAGGTTAGAGTTAATTTTACAATAGCCTCATTTAATTGACACAAACAAGACATGGGCTATGCTGCGGTATTTTCTTATCTGGGGGATGTTCAAACATTCCAGGCCACGTTATCCCTGGCTTTTTAGTTTTAACTAATCTTTACTGAAGAATGCTTATATTCTTAGCTTGATATTTTACTTTAGAGAATTAATGTGACTCTGTCTTTGTTTAATTGTTTAATATGGAGTTTTGGTAGGGATCTTTTCTGGAGGCCCTCACCCTACTCTGACTACACCGACGGTCCCTGTCTCACAAGGAGCCTGGATCACTGACCCACTGCATGGAAGGAACAGAACGTCCCTGGATTGTTCACTTCTAGATTTCTCTTATGTAAGATTATTAGCTTGTGCAATTACACCACTGTTCATTTGATCTACCACAAGTATCTGAATCTACCCTTAACCAAAGAATGAACTTTATTTTAATTCAAATGGTATGTTTATATAGAACACAGCAAGACATTCCAGACTCACCCTATGGCTTCCCTGCTGTCTGCAACTTCCTTTGAAGTTGAGCAATTTGAACAATTATATCAGCAAAACATAGGTAATATATTAGTCCTTCAGATATGGACTGGATGTCCGTGTCCACCACCAAATTCATATGTTGAAATCCTAACCTCCAACAAGACGGTATTAAGAGGTGAGCCTTTGGGAGGTGATTAGGTCATTAGGGTGTAGCCCTCATATGAATGGGACTGAGGCAGGAATTAGTGAGACATAGGCAGCCTTAGAATTTGTGGCCCCAGTAAAAGGAAGGCAGGAGGAAAATAGGATCAAGGCCTTACAGTAAATAAGGAAACACATCCCTGACATCTAGATAATACAGCATGAGAAACAAGGGGCTACCTCCTGAGCATCTGGAGAATTCAGCCTGAAAAACAAAAGTGTCTTCCTAGCAACAAGCTCCTGCCAATCCTGTAAACTTCCTTCTTTTTGGCTCATAAACTCTAGACTCTGCCACTCTAATGGCATCCACTCTTGGATCCCCGCCCATTTAGAGGCAATCTCTATTTTTCCTTTCACTCCTTATTAAAAATTTTGATGGTTGCTCTGTACTCTTGTCTGCTGACTTTATTCTTCATCGTCTCCAAGACACAGTCCTGGGGAAAACAGCATTTTAGCCGGTAATAGGATTATTAGATTTATAAAAGGGACCCTAGAGAATCTCCTTGCCCCTTCCACTATGTCAGGACACAGTGGGCATGTATCATTGTTTGTAACAGAAAACATAGTAATGGAATTAAATTTTCTTCAGTATGGTACTGCTGAAATTAATTTGGGGGCATCTATAATGATGAACCACTACATCCATGTAAAAAAAAACAACAAATTTTGTTGTTAACTTAAAACGTTATCATAGAAATGTATTTTTAAAATGTATTCACATAGAAAAATGGTCATGAGTACAAGTGCAGCCTGCAAAGATCATAAATGGCATGGATCCATTTTTGTTTACATAGGTCTTCATCTGTGGGTCTCAAAGGATAAAAATAAAAATGATCTTTCTGTTCTCATGTACAGCTTTCGTTTAAGCATATTAAGAGGCTGCGCTTTCTGTCTAGAGGTCATCAATATCCCTGTAGGATGGCAATGCCTCTTCCCCTTTTCTGCCTAGACTTTCAGAAACATCTCTTGGGCCACACCCTTTCCCTCCACCTTCCTGGTCTCTGCGATGTTCAAGCTGCAGTTCAAACTTCTGTCAGGAGGTGGCACCAAAGTATCTCTACTTTTCAAATTTCTCTACGAAGACGTTTATTCAACCATCAAAATATACAGTACCCTCCCTTAAAGCCCAGCCTTTGTACCCACGTACAAAATGATTCTAATTCTGTCTGAAAAAATCTCACAGGTATAAAAGAAGACTGAAAACATACTCCAGAGCCTGCATACGATGAAACACCAGGTGACAGTAGCGCGCCTTGGCAGTTGGAGGTAGGTGGGCTAAGGGCGGTGTCAGGGCAGGTGGGAGGTGGCTGAGAGAGGATGGAGCATAGGAGCGGGGTGAGGACAGCTGTGTCCCGTGTTCTGACAGGGGATGACAGAAAGGGGATGGCAGATGGTGTGGGCAGCCTGTTCAGGTGAATGCCCTGCTTTCTTGGGGGGAACTCTAAGTTGTGGACACATCAGCCTGCACTGATGAGTGAAGAGATAAATCAATAAACGCGATGTAGATTGGTGTCAACAGTGGACCGAACTGGTTTAATATACATTAATTTTCCTAGCAGAATTGGTATCATAGTAAACAAATAATTTCATAACATTTGTTATTCTTTGCAAAATGTACTCCTTTTCCTTAAAAGAGAAAAACGGAGATGGATGCCATCCGTTGGCCAGATCGAGCATTGCAGTTCTGAGAGTCTCAGTAAGAGGCAGAAGGAAGGGATGCAGGCTGTGATCTTGACTTAGTGGTATTAGCCAGTATTTTCTGGAACTTTGCGTTTATTGTGAGAAATCCGTCTGTGTTCATTTTTCGGGTTGTCTAAATCTGATTGGATGTTCAGCCCTGCTCTAAACTGGAGAGAAAACTGCTCTTGTGAGTGTGTGAGTGTTTGGGGTGATAGAGCTAGAGGAGACAGACACCCACACATACACACTCACACAGATACATTGTCGATTCAGTTTTTTAAAAAATTTTGGTATCAATCTACAATTACATGAGCAACATTATGGTTACTAGACTCCCCCCATCATCAAGTCCCCACCACATACCCCATTACAGTCACTGTCCATCAGTGTAGTAAGATGCTATAGAATCACTACTCGTCTTCTCTGTGTTGTACAGCCCTCCCTGTGCCTCCCCCTACATTATGTCTGCTAATTGTAATACCCCTTTTTACTCCTTGTCCCTCCCTTCCCACCCATCCTCCCCAGTCTCTTTCCCTTTGGTAACTGTTAGTACATTCTTGGGTTCTGTGAGTCGGTTTTATAATCTATTTTGTTTTCCCATAAAATTGAATACAACAAATGCATTTCCAAAGTAATGAATACGTGTTCACATTACCTCCACCAGTCTGTTCACAAGAATTTTCTGTATTCAAATTTTTATGAGAATGCATTCTTCCTGAATACACCATCTCAAATAATACACAAAAGTATATTCATAAATTGAAATTATCCTTCCTCTCTCACTGGTCAACCTCCACCCCCTGACCGAGAGGGGCCTGTTGTCATAGAATGGTGCTTCCTCTCCAGATGTGTCCGTGTAGGTGAGGCATACATGAACATAGACACCTGCACACATGCATGGTTTATTCCAAAAGAGGAATCACATTATTTATCTTTTACATTTTGTCTTTTCCAATTAATATGAATTCTTAGGATTTATATTTGCATCTTATAAGTCCTTGTGTTGCTTTGTATGCAATATATAGCATGTTGATTAGCCATATATATTTTATAAGAATTAGCTATTCAGATTACTTCCCATCCTATTTGTTAAGTGCACTTCACAAATCATGGACACTAACCCATTATATAAATTGAGTTTGCAAGGGTTCTTTGTCTGATTTTCAAACGATTTTTTTTCATTTAGAATATGTTTTTAAATTCCAAAAGTATTGTTTCTTTTTTTGTTTTTTGAGAGGGCATCTCTCATATTTATTGATCATATGGTTGTTAACAACAATAAAATTCCGTATAGGGGAGTCAATGCTCAATGAACAATCATTAATCCACCCCAAGCCTAATTTTCATCAGTCTCCAATCTTCTGAAGCATAATGAACAAGTTCTTATATGGAGAACAAATTCTTACATAGTGAATAAGTTACATGGTGAACAGTACAAGGGCAGTCATCACAGAAACTTTCG